AAAATATATGTAGGATGGAAACATCCTGACGCTAAGAGTTTGAGGGGAAACTGCTGAGAGGAGGGAGGAGTCCTGGTGGTGCAGTGGTTAAGTCCTCAGCTCTATCTTCTTCTCAAGGACATGTTCATTCAACAGATACTGAGTATCTACAGGCCGTTCTAGAAGCTGAGATCACAGTTGTGAAACAAATAAAACCCCCAAATACTGGCCTCATTTCATTTAAAGTCTAACAAGGTTAGACAGACAGTAAATCAAGTAAACAGTTCAGCATTAAGCCAGTCAGTTGTGACTCGTAGCGGCCCTGTGTGTATCAGAGGATGCCACAAGATTCTGGGCATCACGGAATTTTCAGTAGCTGGCTCTTCAGAAGTAGAGTACTAAGCTTTTCTTTCTTCTTAATTATATTTTGTACTTTATTGTATATTAGGTGAATGGTAAAATACCAAATTGGTTTTCCCTTTAACAATTTTTATACAGATTGTCCTGTGACTCTGGTTACAATTTTTGCAAAGTATCAATAATCTCACTATTTCCACTCTGTTTGCATGTACCTATCATCCCTGCCCCTCCTTGCCTTCTTATCTTTGTTTTTTGAGTAAATGTTGACAGTTTGGTCTTGTAAAAGTGATTGTTTAAGCAAGTATATTCTTCAAGGGTGGTGGTGCTTATTTTATAAGCCAATCTATTGTTTGACTGAAAGGTGACCTTTGAGAGTGGATTCAGCTCCAAGTTAGAAGGGTTATCTTAGAGAGCTCTGTAAGTGTTAATTTGTCTGATCCATAAATAGGAGGCATTCCCCACTTATCTAAGTCCCTTTTGATTTCCTGCAGTACTTTTATGCAGGTTTCCTTATATGAAATCTTTTACATCTGTTGTGGATAGAATTATATCTCTCAATAATGTGTTCCAAATTCTAATTTTTGTGCCTGTGTTTTAATGCCATTTTGGAATGGATTGTCTCATTACATTAATTAGACAGGATTAGTTTAAGATGTATCTTGAGTCAATCTCTCTTAAGATTAGTCAATCTCTCTTAAGATATAAAAGAGATTAAATAAGCAAATGAAAAAGTAGAGACAGCTCATATAATGATATACCAGAGGCCTGCCCTGTTTTGCAGTTGTCCCCTGTCTATGCTGGGAAGACCTGCGGCCTGTGTGGGAATTACAATGGCAACAAGGGCGATGACTTCCTCACTCCCTCGGGCCTGGTGGAGCCCCTGGTGGAGGACTTTGGGAACGCCTGGAAGCTGCACGGGGACTGCCAAGACCTCCAGAAGCAGGACAGCGATCCCTGCAACCTCAACCCTCGCCTAAGTATGGTGAACCTGGTGGGGAGGGCCATGCCTTGCATAGCCCTGGGGTCTCCTGCAGCTAGTACATTCTGTGAGGCAGCGTCCCCAATGGGGCTGCAAAGGCATGGAGGTAGGGCTTGGGTGGGCCTTTCTTTATACCATTAGCATTTGATGATCTATATCTGGATCATTTAGTCTTTCAAGTTTGCTTATTGAACACCCTCTGTGAGCCAAACCCTGGGAAAGAAAATTAGAATGTGGTTCCCTGCCCAGGACATTCTCAGTCTGTTGGAGCAGCAGATACACTGAGTGCAATTATTCTAAGACAAATGGGGTGAGGCTAGTGGTTTGCAGATTATCTGTGGCATCATTTCAGCCCATTAACAACCCTCCTGACCAAGGGGTCACTGGGCTGCCTCTCCTTCTGTCAGTGAACCTGTCCTCTGAGGATGCCCTTCTCTAAAGCAAATGCAATTAAGGAAGTTATTTGGCTGCAGAATAAAAAGCACTCAGTGACTCCTGGAGCCAGCAGAAGTAGTTCTCACAGTTTGTGCTGTTGCTGGAGATGCAGGCATGGGAGTCTCAGAAGGGGAGCCGCTCCTGGGGGCCTGGGCACCGGTAGGGCCTGGCCATCACTGGCTCACGCCTCTCTTTCTCCACACAGCCAGGTTTGCAGAGCAGGCTTGTGCTGTTCTGATTTCCTCCAAGTTCGAGGCCTGCCACCACACTGTCAGCCCCCGGCCCTACCTGCAGAACTGCCACTACGATGTCTGCTCCTGTTCCAATGGCAAAGACTGCCTGTGCGGCGCGGTGGCCAGCTACGCTGCGGCCTGTGCCCAGAGGGGCGTGAGCATTGCGTGGCGGGAGCCCAACTTCTGTGGTGGGTGCCCTCCTTGTTTGCCCTGCATTTAATCAGCTGCTGCTGCCCTGCTGTTCAGTCCACTTGTCCTTTTCACAACACTTTCTCAGCATTATTTCATTTGGAAGTGGGCCCACGGCATTTTGACAAAGTGTGTGTGTGTGTGTGTGTGTGTGCGCGCGCGCGCGCGCGCGCGCGCGCCAGCAGTTCATTTGCAGCCACATTGTCCTTCCAATTCCCAGTGGCACAGGGTGGTGAGGACTGGCTCCCTCACAAGATGGACTGGCTGCCCTGGTCGGCTCCTGGAGGGCAAGTCCAAACCCTGAACTTGGAGGTCCAGAGTCTTGAGGTCTGTGCAGAGCAGAGGTTTCTGATAGTCCAAATGTGTATAATCAGCTTGTGCAGCAAGACAGTCCCAGACCCCAGGGGATTCAGTATCTTCCATGAGAGTGATGAGGGCGGTGAGAAATGCACATACACATCTTTGCATGTAACTTGAGGAAAGCCATCAGCCAACTCTGTCAGAATCTCTGACACTAAATAATGCTGTATAAAGTTGAATATTATCATTGTCCCCGGATGATTTTAAAGTCTCACTCAGCACTGTTAGATTTCTGACACCAGAGTTGGTTTCTTCTGCCACATGCTGGTCCTTCAAGTGTTGAGATTGTGCTTCTCTCTCTCTCTTTGTATGTGTAGTGGTTGACTGCTGTTCCTGCTCTGGGTACATTTTCAAATGTGGTCAGGCAGGTGCTGTGATTTACTTTGAACATCCCTTTTTTGAGGCATAAATGGAAACTGCTTCCCAGTTGTTATGTGCTGTCATGTCAACTCTGACTCACAGTGACCCTATGAACAAAGGCGTTGAACCCTGCCCTATCCTGAGTCAAGCTTACTCTCTCTGAAACACCCGACCCTATTGTCACAGTCACTGTGTCAATCCATCTCACCCAATCTGTCCTACTTTCTTTTCTGGGCTGACACTCTACCCTTGCAACATGATATCTTTTCTCCAGGGACTGGTTCCTCCTGGCAGCATGTCCAAAGTATGTGAGACAGAGCTTCAAAAATCCTTGCTGCCAAGGAGCAAACTTGTTTCACTCTCTTCAGGACAGACGTGTTTGCTCTCTTGGCAGGCTGTGGTATTTCAGGATTCTTCTCCAGCACCACAACTCAAAGGCATTAATTCTTCTTCTATCATCTTTGGTCATTATCCAGGTCTCAGATATGTAGCAAGCAAGACCATGGTCTGAATCAGGCACAACTTAGTCTCTAGACTGACATCATTGCTCTTTTGCACTCTGGAGAGATCCTTGATAGCAGATCAAGAAGACTTTCTGGAGAAAGTGTACTTGACCATGATTTTAAGAAGGTGCTTTCATAGCAGAAAGGTGTTGTTTGTAACGGTAGACTAATGTGGGTGAAGTAAAGTGAAGAACAACAAGATGAAGATGAGGTGTGTGAATATTTTTATTTTTAGGGATAAAGTAAAGAGAACTGTAGATGGTCCCAGAGGAAGTGGGAAAGTAGGGGCTATGCAGAAAATTGGGCAGAATTAAGATTTATATTTGTAGAGAGCGTTAGGTTTGGGAGCTCTAGATGTGTCAGAATTTGTAGTCCTAGGAATCAAGTCAGATGAAAAAAGTAAAGTTGAAGGGAGCAAATCCATAAGCACCTGCCTCCCGTGCCTCTCTCCAGCTCTCGGGGAGTCCTGCGCTGAAGCAGGCAGGGCTGCGTCTGAGTTCTTTCTCTCAGTGAGCTCGTGACTTACTAGCTACATGACCTTGAGGCCTTCACTTGTAGCTGCCATACTCTAGTTATCTCATCAGTGTTTGCTGCTTAGAGAGTGGGAAAAGCGGTGGATAGATGTGATGTTTATAAAGGAGCTGTGGTTGTCCACCAGTATTTGACATAATGCTTTATCAGTCGACTATAGCTTCAGAAAGATTTCCCAATTTAGGTCATTCTCCCAGAATGAAAAGGGACTGCCGAGAGATCCGTAATCTCTTGTGAGCAGCTGTTTTCACCCTTCCTGGGGGACAGGACAAGAGGAAATAGCTGATATTGCATTAGCAGGTTTTAAGATTCATTTAAAGAATTTCCTGACTCCCAAGGCTTTATAACGTGACTGCGAAAGTACTGTGCAGTGGGAAAGACTTTTCTTTGGTGACTTTTAAGGGCACACAGTGATCTGTTTCTATGACTTTGTGTGGAGGTTACCCAGAGACAAGATTCCAAATGGCCTTGGGCTGCCTTTCTGAGCTCCCCAGAGAGTGAGCAGGACTCCTGGACTCTTCTTTCTCAGCTCCCATGGGGGCTCAAGTTGGGCCCTCTCTCAGACCTCATCTTCCATTCTTGGTGGAACTCTTGTGGCCAGAGTTTTCTAAACCACTGACTCCTGTAGGGTCTGTAAGTAGAGATCCTGCCAGCTAACAGTACTCCTGGGCCCCAAGTTTAGCATCCAGCTGCCTGTGAGGAGATTTAGGTGAGTCACATACTTGGCTTTCTTGTCAGCTGGTTATGTTTCCTTCAAAAGGGCAGCACTGTAGGCTCTGTGAATGCAGGGACCAAACCTCACCATCATTGCATTCCATGCCCAGCACAAGCCCTGCCACACTGGGCTGATAATAAACGTCTGCTTGTGCTTGGTTTCTTCTGGAGTAGAGAAGCTGAAGGAGAAATGTACTACGGCTCCAAGTCAGCCCTGGAGAGCATTTATTAGAGGAAATAGGACTCTTCAGCTCTAGTCTATTTTAATGGATAAAATGTGCCCTTATCAATGAGGGTTTATGGAATTGAGAGAAAATTTCCATCTTTGTTGTTCCACGTTACCCAGTACAACCTGTCCGATCTCTAAATGTCCATCTAGTGATCTGCTGGTTCAGAGGAAAAGTCTCTCCAGTGGTTCAGAGAAAATCGATGTGTAATATGCACAGAGGTGTCTGTGGGTGATGCAAATGGTGAAGTGCCCAGTTGCTAACAGGGAGGTTTGACTGTTGGCGTTTACCTGGAGATTTCCTTCTGAAAAGCCCGCTGCCGAAGAGCCTGTAGAGCGCCATTCAGCTCCGACAAACGTGGGCCCCTGTGAGGAGCAATTCAGTACTGACTGGTTAATAAGTTCAGAGAAATTCTTCCCTCCCTCACCCGAGTTTTTAAGATGTGCCCAGGGCTTACTTTTACAGCTATTAGGAAATATTCTGCTGGGCATGTGTGTGTATGTGTGTGTGTGTTTGTGCTGTAGATATGAATTCTAACTCAGAGAAGGAAGGATTCTAAAGGTCTCAGAGTGGGTGTGCCCAGAGCCAGGTTCTCATTTCTTGGGCAGTAATTGATAAGCATTTTGAAAATGTGAGATGTTCCCCTCACCTTCCCTATCCTCCCAGAATGTACCAGACATGCTCCCCAGAGCAGAAAGTGGGCTGTGTTTTCACCAGAATTCAGAAATATTAAGGTCTTCTTAGGTCTAGACAATTCTTTGAAACATTCTGTCCCATTTGGAGCCTACTAACCTGCGCTGATGAAGAGCAACAGTGTCAGTCTGGACACTAAGATGCACCTACTTTAGGCCTTGGTCTTTACAATTACTTGCTATGTGTCAGAAAGCTGGACAATGACTAGGAATGATAGAAAGAGAATTGATACCTTTGAACTGTGGTGCTGGAAAAGAGTATGGAATATACTATGGACTGCTAGGAGAACAAACAAGTTCGTCCTAGAGAGTGTGAGACCAGGCTGCTTCTTGGAGGCAAAGATTCTGAGACTTCATCTGACGTACTTTGGACATGTTGCAAGGCGGGACCAGTCCTTGAAGAGGGACGTCATACTTGGGAGAGTGGAGGGACAGTGCAGGAGAGGAAGACTTGATGAGGTGGATTGATTCAGTGACTGGGGTAATGGAAGTAGGTGTGTTGGAGACAATGAGATTGGCACAGGATAGAGCAGGATTTAGGGCTGTTTTACATAGAGTCGCTATGAGTCGCAAGCAACTTGATGGCACATAGCAACAACAACCACCTGGGCTAAGTAATACTAATACTAATACTAAATACTAATACTAATACTAATACTAATACTAATACTAATACTAATACTAATACTAATACTAAAAATTATAATAATAGCAGTGAACATTTGCCAAAATACTAGGCATTACTGTAGACACAGCACTTAATCTCCAGTAGATTCTAGGATGTGGGTATTATTATGATAGACTATTAAAGTAACTGAGCCACCTTCTCTGGGTCAGAGTTAGCTAATGGAATAACTGATAACTGGGATTTGTGTCCAGGTAATAGGTATCAGAGCCCACCCCTTAGCTGATTTGCAGCTTTGCCACACTTCCTGACTCCTGTCTTGTAGTGTTTCTCTATAGGAAGCCAGAGTGAGTAGGCTGTGCGTAATAGGGGTGGCCCCTTTGTTTCTGAGTTAGGTGTGAAAATATCCCTGCTCCTGTGACCAGCTTGTCTTCAAACACATAGCTGATAAACAATTGGTTCCTTATTTAGAGCATGGTGGTTATGTGCACAAACTTTAGGGAAAGAGAGAGTTGGATTCATACTCTGCCCTGCTTCTTCTGGGAGGTGTGGCCCTGACAAGTTGCTTAGTGTTTTCTTGTCCATAGGAAAGAAGTGTTTAAATTGAACTAACTCATTACTGAGAGTGATGTAAACAATGTAAAACTTATGTGGAGAGCAGGATGTTCATTAGATGTTTTATTAAGAGCAGCCATTGTTGTTGTTATTATTATTATTAATCTTCATAGGAGATGCCTCTTGTCTATTACTCCTCGTTGTTTTTATTATTCACAGATTCAGAATCTGTCATCATTTCTACTATATGCCAAGATTTGACGATTCAGAGATGAGTTGAGGAGAGAGAAAATACATGCATCTCTATCATCTATATGTAATATAGAAAATATGCTGCTGCTGTTTATATTGGGAAAAGAAGACAGTGACCATAATGCTATGCTTGCAGGTTACATCTGCGAATGGTGGCACTCAAGTCCGAGCCCATCACCCTTTATCTTCTCAATGCCTCCACTGAAACTGTCCTTCTCTTTCACTCTCTCCCAGCACTGAACTGCCCGCATGACCAGGTGTACCTGCAATGTGGGACCCCCTGCAACCTCACCTGCCGCTCCCTCTCTTACCCGGATGAGGAATGTAATGAGATCTGCACTGAGGGCTGCTTCTGCCCTCCAGGACTCTACCTGGATGATAGGGGGGACTGTGTGCCCAAGGACCACTGTCCTTGCTACTATGACGGTGAGATCTTCCAGCCCGAAGATGTTGTCTCAAACCACCACACCATATGGTGAGTGACAGTAGAAGGGATGATAGAGCTGGAAAGGAAAATGGACCTCGAAGTCCTTCATTTTATTCATTGGCGCACTGAGCCTCAACAAAAGAAATGGTCCAGAGGAACAGAGCTGGGCTTTTGCTTGTGCCCCTGACTTCTTTACATGTGGAGAACTAGAACTCCAGCGTGGCAGTAGGGCATCCCATTTTCTTACTCTAGGATTTATTTTTTTTCTTTTTATATTATATTGGTTTGCATATTAAATTCATAGACACTGTGTTTCACATTTTCCTTCATTCACATTGTGTTTTGCATAATCATTCTCATACATTGTTGTTGTTGTTGTTGTTATGTGCCATCGAGTTGCTTGCGACTCATAGAGACCCTATGTACAAGAGCTCTATATGCTCCTATACCCTGTGCCAACCTAGCCATCTCAAATGCACTTATTCCCACCTCTCTAGTCACAGAATTGATCCATCTCATCAAAGGTCTTCCTCTCCTTCGCCGCCCCTCCACTTTGCCAAACATGATGTCCCTCTCCAAGGGCCAGGCCCTCCTTGCAACATGCCCAAAATATGTCAGACAAAAAGCTTCAGCATCCTTGACTCCAGGGAACATTCTGGCTTCACCCTCTCCAGCACAAACCTGTTTGTTCTCCTAGCAGACCATGGTATATTCAACACTCTTCTCCAGCACCACAGCTCTACCCTAGTCACTGTCCAACTCTCTGATGCATAGCACGTAATTGTGAAGACTATAGCCTGGATCAGGTGCACCTTAGTCTCCAGTCTGATATCATTGCTCTTCAGTACTCTTGAGAGGTCCCTCACAGCTGACTTTCCCAATACAATTTATCTCTTGATTTCCTGGCTGCTGTTACCAAGAGTGTTGACTGTGGAGCCAAGTAAACTAAAACTGTTAACTATCTCAATCTCTTCACCATCTATACTGATGCTGCCAATTGGCCCAGTAGTGAGAATCTTTGTTTTCTTGATGTTGAGCTTCAATCCATATAGGAGGCTGCAGTCCTTGATCATCTGCAGCAAGTGCTTCAGGTCCTCCTCAGTTTCAGCAAGCAGAGTTGTGTCATCTGTATAACGCAGGTTGTTGATGATTCTTCCACCAATCCTGATGCCACATTCCTCTTCGTATAGCCCAGTGTCTCGGATGATCTGTTCTGCATACAGATTGAAAAGGTATGGAGACAGAATACATCCCTGACGAACCCCCTTCTTGATTTTGAACCATGTAGTGTCTCCTTGCTCTGTTCTGACAACTGCCTCTTGGTCCAAGTATAAGTTTCACATTAGCACAATCAAATGTTCTGGGATTCCCATTCTTCTCAGAGTCAGCCACAGCTTATTGTGATCCACACAGTCAAAAGCTTTTGCATAGTCAATGAAGCACAGATAGACATTCTTCTGGTATTCTTTGCTTTCTGCTAAGATCCATCTAACATTACATTAACTATAATATCCCTAGTACCACGACCTCTTCTAAATCCAGCCTGCACATCTGGCAGTTCTCTGTTGTCATATTGTTCCAAACGTTTTTGGATAATTTTCAGCAGAATCTTGTTTGTATGTGATATCAATGATATTGTTCGATAATATCCACACTCTGTTGGGTCACCTTTCTTTGGGATTATGTTTTGTAAAATTAATCACGATTGAACTATGCACACCATTACCCTACTTTTTTTCAAGTCCATGTATCATTCCCATTTCCTTCACCCCTCCTTCTGCCCACTTAATAGTCTGACTCTGTGATTTCCCCCCTGCCCATAATCACTCCTCTGCTCCTGCCCCTCACCCCTTTGGACCTTCATAAGTAATTTACTAGTTAACCATCTATTTTTATAATAATGGTCTTATGTAGTATTTGTCCTTATGAGATTGAGTTAGTTCACTCAGCATAATGCTCTCCAGTCTTTCCCAAGTTATATATATATTTTAAAATCATTGCTCCAGAGTGCTGTATAGTATTCCATTGTGTGAATGTACCACAATTTCTCCAGCCATTTGTGTGTTGCTGGACATTTGGGCTGTTTCTGTGTTCTTGATATTGTGAATAATGGTACTGTGAACACTTGTGTACAAATTTCCATTTGTGTCTCAGTTCTGTTTTCTTTGGGGTACATTCCTAGCAGTGGAATAGCTGGATAATATGGAATTTCTATGTTCAGCTTCTTGAGGAAAATTCCAGAGTGGTTGTACCATTTTACAATCCCACCAGCAGTGTATAAGAGTTCCTATCTCTCCACATCTAGGATTCATTTTTTCTCGTTTTGGAACAGGGAAGGGATGATATGGTGCCTAATCTTCCCCTTAACTTCCTGTTAGTGTTCTCAGCCTGAAGCATTTTGAGCCAGATGAAAGTACTTTAGAGCAGCATTGGCTTAAAGGTACATTCCTACCTTGACTTGCTTTGTGTATGTCGGGCATGTAAAACAACTCTAGATAAAGACATATTGCTTATGTATGCACCTGATCCAGGCTATAGTCTTTGCAATTACGTACTATGCATTGGAGAGTTGGACAGTGAATAGGGATGATAGAAAGAGAATTGATGCCTTTCAGCTGTGGTGTTGGAGAAGAGTGTTGAATATACCATGGACTGCTAGGAGAACAAATAGGTTTGTCCTGGAGAAGGTGAAGGCAGAATGCTCCTTGGAGTCAAGGATTCTAAAGCTTCATTTGACATACTTTGGGCATGTTGCAAGGAGGGACTGGTCATTGGAGAGGGACATCATGTTTGGGAGAATGGAGGGATGGCGCAGGAGAGGAAGACCCTCGATGAGTGGATCAATTCTGTGAGTGGAGTGGTGGGAATGAGTGTGTTTGAGACGGCGAGGTTGGCACAGGATAGAACAGCATTTAGGGCTCTTGTACATAGGGTTGCTATGAGTCACAAGCAACTCAATGGCACATAACAACAACAACAACAACAACAACAACAACAACAACACATGCATTATACATTTCTTAAATATGTATAAATTTGTTTTTAAAGTTTATACTAGTTTATTTACAAAATTTGAATACATTATTTTTCAGACCAGATTCTTCTAATTTCTCTCATCCTGCCACCCATCAAATGGTATAACCCCATGATTAATCTCCCCCACATCCCTCTGCTTCCACCCTCCCCTCCCTTCTGGATATTCATACTCATTCTACAATAATGGTTTTATACAATATTTGTCCCTGTGGGACTGAGTTCACTCAGCATAATGCTCTCCAGTCCCTCCAATGTTAGGTAATAATTTACAAACTCATTGCTACTACATGCTGTGTAGTATTCCATTGTGTGAATGCACCATAATTTCTCAGTCCACTAATTTGTGGTTGGACATCTGGGATGTTTCCATATTCTTGTGGTGGTGAGTAACACTACTATGAACATTGGTATACAAGTCTCCGTTTGTGCCTCAGTTCTCATTTTCTCAGGGTATATTCCAAGTAGTGGAATAGCAGGTCATATGGAATTTCTATGTTCAGCTTTTTGAGGAAGCGTCAAACCATTTTACAATCCTACCAACAGTGTATAAGAGTTACAACATTATTAGTTGCTGTCCTGCTAAACGTTGCCACTGCTACTGGAATGAGGTGGTACCTCACCGTGGTTTTGATTTGCATCTCTCTTATTGGCAGTGATTTGGAGCATTTCTTCACATGTCTCACAGAAGATTTCTTGAAAAACCATTTGTGTGGCACTTGTTCTGCCCCAAGTTTTGGGTTAGAGATTGGCAACAGACACACTTGACAGTCTACTAGGAGAGACCAGTTAAAGTGTCTTAAACTTGAATTTGAACTTGAATGCCTGAGAAGATGCCAGAAGCACCAAGAGGATTCTCTGGACGCAGAACAGATTTTGAAGAGGGAGGAAATGACACAGTGTTTGGTTTTGGCCTTAATAACTTTGAGTTTCCAAGAAGGCGTCTTCTTGGTGAGAGAGTGGAATCAATTACTTGAATTAATGGATTTGGAACCTGAGCAAGAGGTTGCCTTGAAAAGAGCTGTGTATAGCCGAGGGAAATGGGCTTGCCGAGGGAGTGAAATGTGGTGAAAAGAGGGCTGAGTCCAGAAATGAGAATGTTCAGAAGGCCAGAGGATGAGAAATAGGATCATGCCAGAGAGGCCAGGGGAAAAGGCTAATAAAAGGGGCAAAATAGGATTGTGCTTAACTTCTGTTAGGGTGGGACCACATCATTTGTTTGCTTAAGCTTTTGCTCTTTGCCAGTGATTGCTTTATTACAGTTGTCTGGCTACAATTTTCAAAGTGTTTCCCTCTAGGATTTTAAAATAGCCCCCTTAGGCAGGCAGAACTTGTTTTTTTAATAAGGAATTTGAGGTTTAGAGAGATTATCACTTTCCCAAAGTTGTCTAGTAAGTGATTAGAACCCCGGGACTCGTGAACGGGTGTTCTTTTTGTAGTCCATTGAGAACAAGCTGTTGAATTTAGTGATCAGAAGGCTGTGGTGGCCCTGTCCTTTAGCAGGGGGCTGATGAAAGGGACCAGCCTGTAGGAGGCTGGGATGAGTTGGAGGGCAGCAAGTGTTACTGGTGATGCTACCTGATCACTTGTACAGGGCACATGGGAGTTGAAGGTGAGCCGATTCTGGGTGGATGAGACTGGGTGAATGGCTGTGGCCTTGGACTCTTTCCACAGTTTGCTCATTGGTAACCTTCCCATGTTCTTCTTCTGGCATCTCCCCTCCCCTGAGAGGGAGTGATCGACCATCTCTTGCCTTTTTTTAGAATATTAGATTTCTTAGAAAATAATATGTGCCAGAGGGAGCTCAGCACTTACTTGTCTTGATTTTCAATTTTTTATCAAACTCACTTAAGAATGGGTTCTCAGTGCAAATCCTTGAGATGTCTATGAAGAGGTGATATAATTTGTTACTGTCAAATTAATTCCAAATCATGTGTGTCCGTCTAGATCTCCACCCAACTCCATGTTTTCAGTGGCTGCAAGCTTATGGGAGTAGATCACCAGGCTTTCCCGCT